TGCTTCTCACTTGCATGTGGTCAGGGACAGCAGGGTCTGGCAGCAAGTGGGGGTGGGGGGGAGGAGGTGGGAGGAGGGGCTGCATGTAGGAAAAGTTTGGGAGTCAGAGAAAGAGGGGGCCACCTGATCCCTCAAGATTTATTTTCCCTGCTGTAGCAGTGGGAAGGGGACAACTTCAAGGCAGACATCCAATAATTAGATTCCATATACATGGAAAATAACAAATTTATAAATTAGGCCATAGTTTCATAGTTGGTAGGGTCAGAAGGGACCTGATCAGATCATCATGTCCAACCCCCTACCATGGCAAGAAAGAGTCCTGGGGCCAAACGAGTGCAGCAAGGTGTTCATCCAGCCTCCTTTTAAAGACCCCCAGGGTAGGAGCCAGCACCATTTCTCCTGGAAGTTGGATCCAGATCCTAGCCGCCCTGACTGTGAAGTAGTGCCTCCTGATATCTAGTCTGAATCTACCCTCTGCCAGCTTGTGACTGTTATTTCTTGTCACTCCTGGTAGTGCTCAGGGGACAGGGACTCTCCCAATGCCTGCTGGTCCCCCCTGATTAGTTTGCAAAAGGCAACTAAATCCCCCCTCAGCCTTCTCTTGTAGAGGCTGAACAGGTACAGGTCCCTTATCCTCTTCTCATAGGGCCTGCCCTGCTGATCCCTGATCATGCGGGTGGCCTTCCTCTGGACCCTCTCCACATTGTCCACATTCCTCCTGAATTGCGGTGCCCAGAACTAGATGCAGTACTCCAACTGTGGCCTGACCAGTGTCACATAGAGGGGGAGAATCACCTCCTTGAACTTGCTTGAGATGCATCTGTGGATGTATGACAAGGTACGGTTGGCCTTGCTGACCACACTGTCAGCCCATGTTCACTTTGGCATCAATAATGACTCCAAGATCCTTTTCTGCCTCTGCACTGACAAGAAGGGAGTTCCCCAGCCTGTAGGTATGCTGCTGGTTCTTCCTCTCCAGGTGCAGTACCCTGCATTTGTCAGTGTTGAAACCCATCCTGTTCTCATCTGCCCACCCCTGTAACCTGTCTAGGTCCAATTGCAACCTATTCCTCCTTTCTAGCATGACCACTTCCCCCCACATCTTAGTGTCATCTTCAAATTTGAACAGGGTGCTTTTTACCCCCTCATCCAAGTCGCTGATGAAGATATTGAAGACTGCAGGCCTGAGGACCAAGCCCAGCAGAACCCCACTGCCCACATCCCTCCAGGTTGAATAAGACCCATCCACCACCACTCTCTGGGTGTGGTCCTCCAGCCAATTAGTGACCCATATGACTGTGTAGGTATCGACACCACAGCCTCCTTGTTTTTTAATGAGAATGGGGTGAGAGACAGTGTGGTAGGCCTTCCTAAAGTCCAGAAAGACTATGTCCACCACAACACCTGCAACCAAGTATTTTGTGACCTAGTCATAGGCCACCAGGTTGGTCTGAAAGGACCTGCCTCTAATGAACCCATGTTGGTTGCCCCTAAGCATAATCTCCCCTGCTGGCCCCTCTCGGACATGCGCCACGATAATTCTCTCAAAAAGCTTACCCAGGACTGAGGTAAGACTAACAGGACTATAGTTTCCTGGGTCCTCTTTCCTCCCTCTTTTGAAAATGGGAACCACATTGGCACTTTTCCAGTCCTCTGGCACATCATCAGAGTGCCATGAGTGCTCGTAAAGCCATGCCAGAGGTCCTGCAATGGCCTCTGCTAATTCCCTCAGCACTCTGGGGTGGAGGTTGTCTGGACTTGCTGAGTTAAATATGACCAGTCCCTCCAGAAGTTCCCTGACTAGGTCCTCTCTGACTCTAGGCTTGGGTGCGCCTCCCCTGGGACCTACAGGGGCCCCAATGGGGGGAGATGACCCAGTCCTTGCCCAGAAAAATGAAGGCAAAAATTGTAAATAGGTTAGCTTTGCTGTCTGGTGCAATGACTAGATTTCCTTGCATGTCCTGCAGAGGCCCCATGTTATCCAGTACCTTCTTTTTACCCCCTATGTATTTAGAAAAGGACTTCTTGTCATCCTTTATCTGGGTAGCTAGTCCCAGTTCCATCTCCGCCTTGGCCTTCCTGACTGCCCCCCTACAGTCCTGAGCAACAGAGGTATAGTCCTCCCTCATTATGGCCACTCCCTTCCATTGGGTGTATGCCTCCTTTTTAGCTGGGAGACATTCCCACATGCTTTTGGTGAGCCATGGGGGCTTTTATGCCCTCTTGCCCCCTTTGATCCATGTTAGGATTACCTCCCTTTGGTCTTGGAGGATCGTCTCCTTAAGGAACGACCACTCTTCTTGGACACCCAACTCCCCTCCCCTCCAGGACCTCCATGTCTCCCCAACTATTCTCCTTACCTCATTGAAATCTACCTTCCTGAAGTCTAGGGCTGCTGCCTTGCTGCAGACCTTTGCCACCTTGTGCTGGATGATGAATTCCATCAGGTGATGATCGCTGTCATCCAGGTGGTCAAGCACCTGCAGACCCCTCACCAGGTCATCTCCCGTGGCCAGGACCAGATCCAACAAAGCACCTCCCCTGGTGGAGCTGTGCACCTCCTGGGTTAGATGGAGGTCCAATTGGGGCCAGGAGGATATGCTTTGACAGTTCAAAGCAGGCCACCACACCAGGTACATCTTCTGGTCAGTAGCAGCCCAGATAGCTGGGCAGGGGCACGCATGACAGTAGTGCCGCACAAAGGCCAAATCTGCAGCCACAGCCCACCGGCAGGTGACCCAGAGAGGCAGATACCTCTACTGACTGTGCAGTCCCCATCCAGGTCTAGCAGGTGTGCAGCAAGTCACAGCCAGGCAGCAGCCTCCACTGCCAGACTGTTGCAGTGGGTAAAGTGTGCAGGAACCTCTCTGACCTGCTTCAGCACTCCAGCTGACATGAGGGGTAGTGTCCCCAGGTACCAATTGGCTGGGTGCCAGAAGTTCCTGAGAGCGAATAACCCTGAGCCATCTGACAGGGCAGCTTTTTGTACTTCTGGGGACAGCACAGGTGCTGGCCCCAGAATCTAGCTCCCCCTGGCTGCAGATCCAGGAGGAGCCAGGTAGGGTTATTTTGCCATAAGTGGTACTTTTTGCCCCACACCAAAGTGCATGCCTGGGCATGTGCGCTGAGGCAGAAAGTCCTGGCTCAAATTTGCACAGCTTCTATTTGAGCTGCTGCAAGCACACATGCCTGCATGTGTTGACATGCCCTGTGTGGCCATGTAATTACCATTTTTTGCAGTGTTGTACAGTTAGTTATCCTATTCCCTGGGCAGTGTGGACAAACTAAAAAAAAGGCCAATTAAAACTGCTACCAGAGGCAAGAAAATAAATATTCAGTACAGATCAAGGAAAGTTACAAAAACTCATTGTTATACTAAAGGAAGACAATGGATAACTGCACATTCAGAAAATGCATCAGACAGCAAGCAGTATATAAACAAATATCAGATGCTTGGTTCATAGAATATATTTTCTTCATATTGCATCTAAAGAAATCTTTCTTTTTAAGTAAAAAATGTAAAAAACTTCCCCTTTCTCTTGTGCAAATTCCATTTGTTCATCTTGTTTTCCATTCTTTGTCATTAAAATAGCACTGGATTGGCTGCAGGATGAACTGCCATTTTAGTGGAGTCCTGCAGCCAGGTTCTTTGACTTAGTCCACTGGAACTATTAGTAAGTGACTGATGGGGCCAATCTTGAATTGACAGACAGAAAAAAAAGGGGAAACAGTTGATTCATAATCTTTTCAGCTGTTCACTGACAGCCTCAGAGATACTATTCTGAAAGGACTGTAACCATAAAGTATACATTTGCTGCTGTTTCTGTCAGGCTGAAGTGGCCTATGTGGGCACATCCACACATGCAAGCACATTTGCCTGCAGCAGTTAAAATAAAAGTGGTACAAATTTGAGCCGGGGCTTTTTGCCTCAGTGCATGTACTTGGATATGCACTTTGTTGTGGAGCAAATTGTGCCACTTGGGGCAAAATAAGATTGCCTGACTCCTCTCAGATCTGCAGCCAGGGGGAGCTAGATCCAGGGGCCAGCACCTGTGTTGTCCCCAGAAGTATAAAAAGCCACCCTGGCAAGTAGCTCAGGGCTACTAGCTCTCAGAAGCTTCTGAGGCCCAGCTAATTGGTACCTGGGGACTCTACCCTTTGTGCCAGCTGGAGTGCTGAAGGAGCCCTGAGAGTTCCCTGCACCTTCTACCCACTGCAGGGGTCTGGCAGAGGGGGATGCTGCCTGGCTGTGACCTGCTGCACACCTGCAAGATCCAGATGGGGACTGCACATCCAATAGAGCCATCTGCCTCTCTGGGCCAGTGGGCTGTGGCTCCAGGGTTGGCCTCTGTGCAGCACTACTACCACATGTGCCCCCTGCCCGTCCATCTGGGTAGATATCACCTGAAAGATGTTCTGGGTGTGGTGGCCTGCTTTGAACTGTCAAAACCTGTCCTCCTCACCCCAACTGGCCAGGAGGTCAGCCACAGACAGCTGGGTCCAAGGTGCAAACTCTGAGCAGGCAGGGTCCTAGTAGGAATTATGGTGTTCCCTGTTGGAAAACTGAAAAATCCCTGGTAAAAAAAAATCCCAAAGTCAATTTGTAAACTACCCCCAAATCCATGTTCCTCCACAAGTAAAACAAAAGACCACTATAAAGAGAGAGAGAGAGTGAGACAGAGACTGTGATCAGGTCGACAATGTTTTATTGATATATCTCCAGTGTTAAAGCATGTCTCTTATCATAATAATAAAGTGAAATCTAAATACATGTTTCATTAATTCATAAATATATATTTTGCTGCCTTCCCACAGGGGCTATGGCCCCCACACAGGGTTTATGGCCCCCAACAGGGGATTCAGTCCCCACACAAGGGCTACAGCACCCCAACAGGGGGTTCAGCCATCCAACAGAGATTTGGCTTCCACACAAGACCTATGCCCCCCCCCAACAGGGGGTTCGGCCCCCACACAAGGGCTACAGCCCCCAAAAGGGGATGGCCCACACACAAGGGGTACAGCCTCCCAACAGGGGGCAAATGGCCCCCACAGAGGCCACCCCCCTGCCAGGCCCACATGTCCCACCCCAGCCCCCTGATTGCTGCCCCACCTGGTCCCATCCCCCACCAGCTGCTGCAGCCCCCCTGATGGCTGCCCCACCCCCTGCTCCCCCAGACCCTCCAATGGCTGCCCCACCCAGACTCCCCCCCCCTCTTGCACTCCCAGGGCCCCATGGCTACCCCCACAACCCTAGGCACCATCACTTAAAAAAAAAAAAAGAAACAGAAAAAAACACAGAAAAAAACCTGGGAAGTGCATTGGGGGTGTCAGAGGGGCAGGCGGTGGGTGGGGCCAGGCAGGATAGAGATGATGGGGGCTGGGGGAGTGGGTGGAACCAGTGTGGGATAGGCCTAAGGATCCACCAGAGCACCAGGAGTTCTCAAAGATCCGTGCCAGGGGCCGAGCTATGATGCTAGCCAGCTCCTTGAATACCCTGGGGTGTAAACCATCAGGGCCAGCTGACTTGAAGGTGTCCAGCCTCTCAAGGTGTTCCTTCACAAGGTCAGCATTGATAAAGGGCAAGGAATTTCCTTCACCTGGGCCTCCCTGTCCCATAAAGAGCAGGGGCATCCCAAGGGATTGATGAAAGACGGATGTAAAGTATCCATTTAGTAGGTTGTTTTTTTCCTGGGCATTGGTTGTCAGTTGTCCCTTCTGGTTTAGCAGGGGTCCAATGTTGCCCTTGCTTCTCCGGCTCCCCACATATCTCAAAGGGTCCCAGGATAGGAGTCTCCCAGGTAGAAAACTTATGATCCCAGTAACTCCAGTGTGTTGTGTAATGATCATTTCACTCATAATTCAAATGACCTGAAGCCAATCCACATATGGTGCACAAAGCCTATAGAGATTTTGAAAATCAAGAAATAAATTATTCTATAAAAAGTCTGTGTAATATTTAGATGGACAAAGTGCAATTGCTTATGTTGGGTTCTGACCATGATCATCTCCTCAAATATAGTCATAAAACCTTTAGTAGAGATAAACATTCCAGCTAGAGTCATGGCAATAATGCTAAAGAATTTTGAAATAAGTTATTTTTGCTATAGTCAAACTGTACAAACTGTACAGTGAATGTGTGTGATGACCATTCACAAATTTCTGATAAAGTTTTCTAGGACAATATCTGATGGAAAATAAATGTTAAACTCTGATATTGAAACATACATGATGCAAAACTACATTCTATGAACATGGAAGCTGTCAGCTCTACTTTGTCTTATGCTGGCTGGAGCCAGGAAGCCAGCAAAAATGAAGAGCAAAAAAGCTTCACTGTGAATAGAGTAGTGCAAGAAGAGCAAACTTTTCTTTCCTAAGTACTCTCTTCCCCACTGTGCTAATAGAAACAGGAAAAAAGGAAAGCCACAAAAAGTTCCCTGTTCCACCTTATTATCAATATTTTTCACCTGTAAATGTGCACACCAAACAAATAATGCCTCTCTGAAGATGTCCTATAGGAAAAATAGTTGTAATCGGAAACTACAGGAAAAAAACTACTTATAATATATGATTTTAATTACCATACAACAAAACAACCCACTGGACAGTACAGTGAATTCTGCCTATTAGAAACACCTAAACATAAACTGTGGCAAATAAAAGTTTCTCTTTTCAAATTATTGTCAACATTTGCCTCTAAGACTAGGGACCACCTGAAAAAAGCATGAGGTGGAATCAATACACATTACATTGTTTTCTGTAATCAGTATATTTTTAGATTGGTAGCAAACAGAACACACGTTCACCCTTTGGTGGTGGGGGGGGAATCTTAGACCCGGTTCCGCCATTTTTAAATCAGTCTATGTGTGCCGAACTTCTGTTCTGTTACAGGTATAAACCAGTTTCCAATCATTTATACCCATAAAAAGGTAATGTCTGTAGTGGGCCTAAGGGATCACCTGAGGCAGTAAGATGGTAATTCATATTCATTCACTTGATAGCCTTTCAAATGAGACATCCAAATACAAAGATGGTTTCTCATGTAGTAGAAAGTGCACTAAAGGATAAATACAGTAAATGATTTACTGGATTTCACAGTGTATAAGTTGGGTTTAGAAGCCCAATTTTTGTGTCTTAAAAATCAAACTCGATTTATACACAGTGCTGGCACTGCTTGCAGGGGATGGATGGAGAAGGGGATGGGGACAGGGATGGCGATGGGGATGGGAATGGGGATGGGCTTGGCACTTGTCTGGTGTGGTCCCATCCCCTGAGAGGGGCGCTGCTGGTGTCGCTGGCAGAGGATGAAGCAGCACCAGCCAAGCACCGAGCCCAGCTGAGTGCAACCCTGTCTCCCTCCCCTGCAAGCAGCACTGAGCTTGCAGGAGATAGGGCCACTGTGAGCGGCACTGCTGAACACCAAGCCCAGTGCCGCTCTCAGGTGATGAGTCTACATCAGCTGAATACTGAGCCCAGCTTCATCCCCTGTGAGCAATGCTGGGCTTGGCATTCAGCAGCACTGCTCGCAGAAGACAGGGCCAGGCTCGATGCTTGGCTCGCGTGGCCCCCCCTCCTGTGAGTGGCACTAGCAACACTTCTCACAGGTGATGGGGCCACACCAGCTGAGCACCAAGCCCAGTCCTGACTAATACACCATGCCTATGAAAATCCTTACCTTTCAGATCATAAAGCCAGAGGTCAACCTATACAGCATGCAATATGGCAAGCAGAATATACATTCCTAATTCTAAAATTGTAAGACTTAATTGTGGAGACTTAATAAACACATCACTGAACAATAGTGATTATTTGAATTGCAGTCATTGCTGACCCAAATCAATTTGAATTCATTATTTGAGGTGAAAGTAGTTTTACACAAGCCATTGGCATCTGCATGAGTGAGCAAGACCCCAAGACAGAGCTTTCCTCAAGTGAAAAGTCTGAAGGATTTTGCTTCAGGTAAAGAAAAATGCACATTAAATATGCCTCTGTGTATTTGCTAATTAACAAGCTAATTCATTACTGACTCTCATGTTGCAAACTACTGTGTGAGTTGTTTGAAGCAATAAAGAAGTTTTGATTTAATTTAATAAGAATTGTAATGAAATAGCAGATAAGTATTTTAGTGAGTGATTATGAAAACACTTCTCAAACATCCATATTTAAAAATTAAGTCATTGTCAGAGACTCAAGTCCTACTACATATGATGCCTATAGTCAAGAAAATCAGTGGTTGTGATTCACTTTCATTTATAATAATGTTTTAGAGTCTGCTGCTTTGCACCTCTAGGTGACCTTAATATCATTTTTAAAACTTCAATGCAAGCTGCACAAATATAAGCCACTACTAAACCCTTAAAAAAAACAAACCCAACAACACCTGATTAAATAAACAAGCCACTGATACCTTGATTTCTTCTATTTTTTACATGTATCCAGGGAAATCATTGTCCTTGAAAAGAGCTGGATTGAATGTTCTAGAAAATGAACTCCTTTTGAACAAACACCAATATGTTGTTATAAGCAGTAGCCATGTATGTTTCTTCACCTACTTGATCACTGAATATGACATAGTGAACCATTGCAGGGGTGAGAGTGAAGCTCTTTCCTCCAGTCATTGCATTTTCTGTGATGATCCTCCTCCCTGATCCCTTCCTCTTTGACATTATCAGGAAGAATCAGTTTTCTTCATTACACTGAGTGTGAGCAGCCACCATCTGGAGAAGTAAAATAGAAGCTACTGTGAGCATGGAGAAAATTTAATTATTAGAATATCCACTATTCTCTGTATTCCTAAGAATCTTTATAAGAACCCCCTCCCCCACCTCCCCTACTACAATAGTAGTGGAATACCCTCCCTCCCCACTACAATAGCATAATGTGCCACTGTGCTCTACCATAGAAAGGAGAATATGCATTTGCATCCCACTATGCACATGCTTGGACTTTGTCCAGTTCATTAACTTCACCTAATCTGTCTTCTCACTTGATAAATGCTACTTGTGTCATGCAGATTTTCCAGAACAAAGCAATTCTGGTGCGTTAATTTTGTATTTTCCTTTAAAGCATTTTTAGTTTAGGCAAATGTAAAAAAAGGAGCACCTTTGCAGAAAACAATGCCTGCACTTTTGAGAGAGTATTGGGCTGCCCTCGGAAAAAGTTTGGCTCCTTTTGCAGTAGCCAGTTCTATTTTTGAAAGTAAAAGAAGGTTAATGAGTAGAATTGCATTTCCATACAGGGAAACAAACAAACAAGCAAACAAACAAACAAAAAAGAACCATGCACATACATAATACCACCTGGCTACTCTGTCCTTATAAACTGCCACATACCTGCCAACATTTCATTATGCTCAGGTGTGACTGGGTAGCATTGTATAACTGCCATGTCTCTGACTCTTCATGAAAACAAATATATCTTAAAAGGCTCCTTCACCAAGCAAAATTGTAATTTATGAAATAATAGCAGATCATTTTAGTTTATGAGATTGCATGTGGACAGTGGTTTAATATCATACTAGCCTTTCACTTCTAGAGACAGGAGTCCACACTTGGCAGTATGCAATTGTGTGTCTGTCTCCAGCATAGAATATCATGTCTGCCCCACAGAGTATTCATTCAGTACTCAGAATAAATACACAGGTACAATAGCAGAGCCAGAGAAGAGAATGACAGCAGCTGAGGACTGAAGCCTACTACATGTGGTCCTGTAGTGAAGAACCAGGGAGGTAGTGTTCAGGCCTGAACTTCCTCATATCTAAGGAAGCTCAGATCCAGGATCTATGGAGTGCCCCAAACTGTTTTAACAGCCCTGATTCATAAATAAGCCTTTAATGTTGGTTTTGTGTACCACTTCTCTCAATCAGGGCCAGTCCAAGGGTAACTGGTGCTCTAGGTGAACAGTGTACCTTGGCGCTCCCACCACTTCCAGTATAGAGGGAAAGGTAGAAATCATGATTCTAGTGATCTTTCCTCTGAGCTCTTTTCAGAGGTCTTTCTCTCCTTACCAAACCAAAGGTCATAGACCAAGATGGAGCCATAGCCAGCCAGGGCTGTTATGTAGAATGATGTTCATAATATTTTGTTCTGCATATAATTTTGGCGCCCCCCAAATGTTGGCACACTAGACGACTGCTTAGTTTGCCTAATGGCTGGACTGGCCCTGCTCTCAATGAAGACAATAATTTTCTTAACAAACATGGAAAAGGATTTATTTTTGTTTTTGTTTTTCTGGTGTCTGTTTTCCTTTAAAAAATGAAAATTGTTGGTTCCGAAGAGGGCCAGGTAACTGTTTATAGTTTTTGCTGTGGATTGTAATTAACATATTTATGGCCAGAGGAGTAGAAGAAAACTCACATATTCTGTCTGCCAGTAGCTCTGTTCACCTACTTCAGAGGTCAGATGCAGATACTGTAGCGATCTTCATTTGTCATCCTTTGTTCATAGCAATAATTTTCTAGGTCAATTTTAGCAGCTTCTTGAGGAAAGATTGGATGCAGCTGCCTCAACACTGTTCTGATTACTGACCACAAAGGATGCTGAATGGTGATATAAAGAGTTCACATCCGTTGCCAGCCGTAAAAGTGAGCAGCTGAATCAAAATGGATTTTTTCTTCTATCCAGCAGTGGTTAATAAGAGTTTCATACCTAACCATCAATCATCTTACCTATTTTACTGTGCTTGTAAACACCCAGATGAATAGCAGTGAAAACAGTTTATTTCATTACTATGTTCATGTATAATAATGACCATAAATACACATATCATGTCAACATTCTGCAATATAGTGGTATTTATACTATTATAGCAAGTGTAATACATTGTTGTTGCCTACTCAGCAATGTAACAAGGTGCATTTATACATTTATTTTTATGTTCAGATCTATTTTTAAAATATTAGAACATTAATCAGTTGATCTTTTAAAGACACAAAGTTCAAGGAGAAAGGAGTTCCACAATGGCCAAGAAAGGCACTGTCCAAGTTTCTTATCATTATGCTATTAAAGAAAACTTTACATAAAGTAAAAGCAGGCAAGAAGTAGGAGCAAGGTTGCAGGCTTTGGCAGGGGAGAGAAGAAGAAACTTCACTCTACAATAATGGTAAGGACATGGTGGGCTGCCAGGGACCTGGCCCCGGTGATGCTGCCTGCCTGGGGCTCCTCTGAGGCATCCACACAGATGGAGCCCACCAAGAGGCTACAGCCACCCTCCCCGCTGTCTGTGAGGGTTGCCTAGTGGGGCCTCTGTGGCCTGAGTGGGGAGTGAGAGTTCCCTTGCCTGTCCCATGTGTGCCCACCTTTGTGCCCTGGACAGGCAGGTGAGGGAACTCCAGGCAGAGGTCAGCAGGTGGAGGGGTATCAGGGCTGCTGAGAATGAACTTGATGGGTATTTCCGTTCTCTGCAGGGACAAGTACCTAGTGAAGAGGCACCCTGGGAGGGACCCAATACAGCAGTATGGCAGACAGTTACCACCAGGGCCAGGACTATTCATGCTGCTGCAGTGTCGGCCCCTCCTGTACAACTAGGAAACAGGTATGAGGCCCTGGAAGCACTGGAGGAGAAGGCAGGTAAGGATGATTACAAAGGAGCCAATGCCACTCCACACATGGTGCAGACTGAACGATGCTGGAACACCCAGAGGAAGAGATACAATGTCTTCATCATGGGCGAGTCCCTCCTGAAAGGTACAGAGGGACCCATCTGTCACCCGGATCCCATGGTGCGTGAGATTTGCTGCCTGCCTGGAGCTCAGATTCAGGACATCACACTGATGATCTTGGACCTCATATGGCCCTCTGATCATTACCCCTTGGTCCTCATCCAAGTGGACACTAATGACACAGCTGGAGTAGTCCAGAATGTCTCATGAGAGATTACAAGACTCCGAGGGCAAGGTTTAGGGAGACAGGAGCACAGATGGTTTTCTCATCTGTTCTTCCAATGAGTAGATGTGGACAGCACCATGCAGCCTACATCAGAGAAGTCAACCAGTGGCTTTGGAGCTTGTGTTACCAGATGGGCTTCAGATTCTTTGGCCAACACCCGTACTTCTGTGCAGGAGACATGCTAGGGCGGGATGGGCTACATCTCTGCCCAAAAGGTAAGCATGTTTTCTCTTCCAGATTGGCTGATCTCATATGGTGAGCTTTAAAGTAGGTTCATTGGGGGATGGGGATGCAGAGTTACAGGAGTACACTTCGATGTCAAGCCAGGTGATGCGAGCAGGAACACCCTAGGTAAGTGACAAGGGCTCAGGCTAGCTTGGGAATAAGAGAGCAGCATGAACACCCATAGGAGGTCTCAATTGCCTCTATACAAATGCTAGAAGTATAGGGAATAAGCAGGAGGAACTCATCCTCCTGGTAGCTAGCAAAAACCCAGACCTAGTTGGGCTGACATAAACCTGGTGGGGTTCTACCCATGACTGGGCAGTAGACATTGAGGGCTATAGGTTGTATAGATGAGATAGACTAGGGAGAAAAGGAAAAGGGAGGTGGGGGCGTGTAGCGCTCTACGTCAATGAGCAGTACATGTCCTCAATGATCAGTACGGGTTCAGAAGAGGAGCAAACTGAGGCGCTCTGGGTTAAAATGCAAGGGGGTTGTAGAGAAAGGGTCTTGATAGTGGATGTCTACTACAGACCACCTCACCAGGGAGATGAGCTGGACCTGGAATTTTCAGTTCATCTCATGGAGGCTGTAAGGACAAGGGATGTGGTTGTCATGGGTGACCTAAACTACCCAGACATCTGCTGGGAGGATCAGTCAGTCAGGTCTGAACACTCATGTAGGTTTTCAGCCTGCATACAGGACCTCCACCTAACCCAAGAGGTACATAATCCCACCAGAGGAAATGCCTAGCTGGACTTGGTCCTTGCCACAGGTGCTGACCTGGTCAGGGATCAACAGGTGCTTGACTACCTAGGCATTAGTGACCATTGTCTGCTGGAATTTACTATCTAGCATAGGGTGGTGAAAGCAAGCAATAAGGCAAAAGTCCTTGACTTCAGGAGGGCCGACTTCAATGAGCTAAGGCGATTAGTAAGAGAAACACTGGGGACTCAGAGCTTCAATGAGATGGGAGTCCAGGATGGGTGTTTGTTCCTTAAGGAGACAATCCTTTGAGCTCAGAGGGAGTCAGTCCAAATGAGAAACAAAGGGGGCAAAAATGCTAAAAAGCCCCCTTGGCTCAGTAAAAGCATCCAGGAGGGCCTGAGGGAAAAAAAGGTGGCATAAAATCACTGGAAATAAGGGGCAATCACCAAGGAGGATTACATCTCCATTGCTCATGATTGCAGGGAGGTGGTTAGGAATGGCAAGGCAGAGATGGAACTAGGGACAGTGATCAGAATTAAGGATAACAAAAAGTCCTTTTTCAAATACATAGGGAGTAAGAAGAATGCACCAGGTAACGTGGGGCCCCTACAGGACAGTTTTGGCGATCTGGTGATTGCAGAAAAGGAAAAAGTTGATCTCTTCAATGAATACAGATAGGCTTAGGGGACACAACACCATGCCCAGGGTCAGGGATGATCTAGTTAGGGAATTCCTGGAGGGGCTGGACGTGTATAAATCAGAAGGTCTGGATGCTCTTTATCTGAGGGTACTGAGGGAATTGGCAGAGGTCATAGTAGGGCCCCTGGCACAGCTGTATGAGAGCTTGTGGTACTCTGTCCATGTCCCAGAGGCCTAGAAAATGGCTAATGTGGTCTCCATTTATAAGAAGGGGAGAAATGAGGACCTGGGTAACTATAGGCCAGTTAGTTTCACCTCGGTCTTTGGGAAGACCTTTGAGAAAATTATCAAGGAACGTATCTGCAGGGGCCCAGCATAGGAGGTAATGCTCAGGGGCAACCAACATGGGTTCATTGTGGGCAGATCCTGCCTGATTATCCTTATTTCCTTTTATGACCAGGTCACAAATTCCTTAGAATTGGGCATTGAGGTTCATGTCTTCTACCTGGACTTCAAGAAGGCCTTTGGCACTGTTTCTCACCCCATTCTCATAAAAAAAAAAAACCCAAAAAACCACTAGGTGATTGTGGCATTGATGCCTACACAGTCAGATGGGTGGCAAATTGGCTCAATGGTCTCACCCAGAGAGTGGTGGTGGACAGGTCATTTTCAACCTGGACGGATGTGAGCAGTGGAGTTCCCCAGGGCTCAGTCCTTTGGCCTGAGCTATTCAACATCTTTATCAGCAACTTGGAGCTGCATGTGGAAAGCATGCTGCCCAAATTCACTGGTGACACAAAGATGTGGGGAGAAGTGGGCACACTGGAGGGGAGGGACAGAATCCAACTAGATCTAGACAGGTTACAGAAATGGGAAGATGAGAATAGAATGGAATTCAATGCAGACAAGTACATGGTGCTGCATCTATGGAGAAGGAATCTGCAACACATGTAGAGGCTGGGGAACACCATGCTCAACAACACAATGGCAGAAAGGGATCTTGGAGTTATTTTTTACTCCGGGATGGACATGAGCCTCCAATGTGAAGAAGCAGTCGGTAAGGCTAACCGTACTTGTCGTGCATCTACAGATGCATCACAAGTAGGTCCAAGGAGGTGATCCTTCCCCTTTATGAGGCACTGGTCAGGCCGCAGTTGGCGTACTGTATCCAGTTCTGGGCACAGCACTTTAAGAGGGATGTGGCTAACCTTAAGAGGGTCCAGAGGAGGGCCACTTGCGTGGTCAGGGGGCAGCAAGCCAGGCCCTATGAAGATAGACTAAAGAGTCTGAATCTATTCAGCCTCCATAAGAGAAGACTGAAGGAGACTGGTGGCCATCTATAAACTCACCAGGTAGGAACAGCGGAAAATAGGTGAGGCTCTGTTCCCCCGGGCACCACCTGGGATAACAAGGAATAATGGCCACAAATTGATTGAAAGCAGGTTCAGGCTTGATATCAGAAGGCATTGCTTGATGGTTAGGGCTGTCAGGCTCTGGAATGGGCTCCCAAGGGAGGTGATGCTCTCCCCTACCTTGAGGGTCTTCAAGAGGAGGTTGGAAAGATAGCTGGCTGAGGTATTATAATCCCAGCACACATTCCTGCCCAGGGCAGGGGGTTGGACTTGATGATCTGTTCAGGTCCCTTTCAGCCCTAGAAACTATGAAACTATTTGTGGTTTTCAAACATGTCAGAGGCCCCTGCCACACATTAGACATATTACAAAATTAACTGGTTAATTGCAGAATAAATTTAGGCCAGCTACATGCAAAGTAATTATCACACCATAATAATGTCCATCCAACTACAAAAACAGTCAACCAGCTACAAAGTTAGTGCCTGAAATGTGTAAGTTTATAGCTTGTTTCTATCCAGCTTTAACTTGAATGTGTGTCAGGACCCTAAGACTCTAAAACAATTTTCTAATTCTAATTGATTTCTTCCTTTTTTTTTTTTCTCTATGCTTGCTGCTTCTGCTATTTTAATTTTTGGTTCTGATCTTTTCCTCTTATGTATACAGATTAGTTCAGGTTTTGTTTTTTTGTATGAACTATCCCTTAAAGAAGGATGTATCTGCAATATTGAATTCTCCTTTTGTACCTGATCCTTTGTCTTTTGTCCCCGTATATAATCATACTCTTTTTCTAAAAACAAAATATCAAGGTTCACAACTCCAATGCCAAATAATGTTGGCAAACCTGCTGTTTAATTAAACTGATCCATTAGACCACAATTTGAAAACAACACCATTGCTAATTAAATTAATTTTGCCTCTGTAAAACAATTAAGGATCATCAGTTTCTCCTAAATATCTGTTAATTGTATTTCCAATGTCTCCCATTTTCAGAAATGCAGCTTTTTCATATAATCCACTTCCTACACGTCAAATCTATCTTGTTTTAAAGATTTTCCTTCCTGCACCTCTTCACCCACAATGTGCCTAAACCTTTTTTTTTGTTTTGTTGTTCCATCTACTATATCAGAGATAGATGATGCTAACACTTGCACATACGAGTAGGTCTAAAGATGTCAAGGAAACTACGCACATGGACAAAGTTAAGGGCATATATAAATTCATGCTTTCAGGATTGGAGTCCAGAAACACAAGTTGTTTTCTTACCAGGGGCCTTGATTTCTTAGATTTCTAAAATATCATATATATTTATACAGGAATAAAGATCAATTAAAAATTTCTGATGCTCGCAAACAGCACCAAAGAGAATAATGTTAAGGTGAAGGTATGGCTTAAGAACATGGGCAAACTGCATTGAATTCATAGCCTTGTCACAGACCGTATGACCTTGAGGTTGTCTCTTAGCCTATCTTTGTTCCCTAAGTATCCATTTAGCTTGTTTCTTTTCAACAAAGTGCTTAGGGACAGATAAAGTGTCTTAGCATGTAGGAACAGCACCTAGTGGAATATTTGAGCTTAGTAGAAAGAAAAAAAAATCACAAAAAACCCTAAAACTAACTATGTTCAGCTAACTTCCATTAAAAACCCTCCTTTTTAATAATCTCAGAAGGAAGAAACATAGTCTGCTTCTTATTAACTATGTTGTTTTCCTCCACTTCACTTGCATCTCTAACTTTGTTGGTTCAGGATGTTTTTGTGAACAAAGAACTGCTGACATTTCAGTTACTTTTTCAAAAAGGAATTTTGTCATCCCAAGGGTAAACCATAAAACCTTACTCCCACTGACAAGATCCGCAACCTGGGATTTCTTCGTTTAGGTTTCCAAATATAGTATATAGCTTCTCAAACCCAAGTAAAGATTCTTGTCGAGAATCAGAGCAGCTGCCGGCAGCTGCATCCTGACTCTCACCGGAGTGTTTAGATTTTTGACTTGACAGGTGGGTAATTAATGGATGGAGTGAAATTAACCAGGCATAGACACGTGTTGGTTATAAGAGATTGTTTACTTACGCCGCCTCAGGATGAAATACGATGCAGGTAGCAAACTTGCTTTAGTTACAACCGAGCATACGTATCTGGTTACAATCGACCATGCGTGACGAAAGAGATGCTGTGACCGAGCTGACGAGCCTGCAGGGGGGGGTTTGGGTACGTCGGGACCGCCGATGACAGGGAGTTATTGGTGGGTGATCAAACCGCCAAGTTACTCTGCTGTGTGTGTTCAGAGTTCTCCAATTTGGGCGGAAGTGCAAGCTGGTTTTGTTTGTGTTATAACCAATTGATTTATGCCACGTCATCTGGTTTGTGTTAGAATTGCCAATTATACAGCAGTTTTCGCCAGGGTTTTATTGCAGGGTTTTATTGCAGGGGTGTCCCCTTTCACTCTGACCAATCATAAATCATGGGCTTAAGTTTCGTTTCTTGTTAGTGGGCTTAAGTTTCATTTTTTGTTTGTGACGTGGGCATAAATTTGTTTTTCTTGCTTGTGACATGGGTATAGTTGCTTTTAGTTATGACACTTCTGAGTCATTTTATTTGGTGGCCTCTGCTTTGGGTCCTTAATAATGCTATCTTTCATTTTAGACACCCCATCCACATGAGATAATGTGTGTGAAAACACAATATGTTCATTGTGTAATAAATGGCCATCTCAATGTAGGAAAAGCAAAGCAGACATACAATATGTAGTCCTACTATATACTAAATCACACAAATCCAGGGTAAAGTTATCCCTTGAAAAGCACGTAGTAACTTTACAACACAGGGAAGTTGCTGTAGGAAATGCACTGCATGCCTATTTCCCTCAATCTCAGCCCAAGTTAACTCTGTGCTCAGTTTAAGTAATTCCCCTGCCAATTCAGATGTACTTGAGGACCTGCACTTAGACCTATTATTGTAGAGTCAACTTACTACAAAGAAAAATCCTAGGTAAGTCATTCTGCAGTGACTGTGTTTTAGGTTAAGAAGGAAATAAGAAACACAGTGGGTCCAGATCCTCAGGGGAAACCTATTGCATGCACACATGCTACACATTCCTCCGTAGGAACATATGGAGAAGTAAGGGCAGCCTGGCTCCAAAAAGGGCCGTCTGAGCTCTGTCTCCCTTACTGTACTGAACAGCACAGCTTAGTTTGTAGGGTAGGAATAAGGAGGAGGGAACTGTGCACCCCTGAGACACAGAAAATGGTCCAGAGGTTAAGTAGCTGAGAACCTTCTCTTACAATGTGCTATATGACCTATTTGTTAAAGGAACAGTAATGGAGGAATATGACCTGAAGAGCATAAAGCTTGTTTATTAAAACACTACACTTACAAAGGGTAATTCCACCTTTTCACTTTATATTCCCAGAATGTGCAATACTGGTTATCATCATCCTTTCCTCCTCCCATGTGCAGTTTAATAAAAGGTCATAGGCTATATCATTTGCTAGAAAAATAGGCTCAGTGAGTTGAAATGAGCTTTTGTTTCTCCAAAGGCAGTAGACAAGTCTTTGATCCTTAACTAAAACATCACTTCTTGAACTTAATTTAAAAATCTACAGAGTCATGAGGGGATAATTCTGTATCAAAGAGATCTTGTAGCCAATCCCGATTTCTTAATCAGAACTGAGGTGTTCCTGATTTGCAGGTAACTTTGTTGATCTTCTTACAAATGACAGCCATTAAACATCAAGATTGGGACATGAAAGTGACACCAGTCCCAGCAATGATGAATAAAGTACATAAGGTCCTATAACTTAAATGATGGAAGGGTAGACTCTGGAGATGTTCTGCTCAGAGAGATAGGGCCTTAGCTTAGTGCTTGATCTGAATTCAAACTGCAGTATTTAATTGTGCCTGTCTAAATTCCCCTGTGTTCTCAGTTCTTTTAGATCTTCTTAAATTAGTAAAGGAGTTGCAAAGAATGCTTTTTATGTTGGTGTATCAGAGGTGGATGGATTTCAATGGCAGCAGTAATTCCTGTACTTGCTGTTTAGTCTCACTTTCTACTTGTTTTGAACAGAAAGCATTATAAACAATAACAACAACAAAAAATAAAGTATTACTAATCACATTACAATTCACAGATGTAAAAGACAGGAAGGTTCAAAAGAACACCTCCAACCTTTTAAGTTAATTTTTACATTAATCATGCAGTGCAAACATAATGTCACATTTCAATGAACCAAAATACCTACCTTAAGCCAAAGTTAATATTAATTTTTTATAATATGCCATGATGAAATTTCCCAGCAATATGTTTGAGATAACCAAGAAATAAGCCCAGTGAAGGCAAATAAAAATAATACAAATGGGACTACTTGAATTAAGTTCTGGTTTACCAGAGTCAAAATCAAGGATGTAAAGATCAAGATCAAAATCAAAATCAAACAAAATAAATAAAACAGATTTTTGAGGAAGGATAGCCATCCTAAACTGGGACTTGGACGATTTGATCTAGGAAATTAATAATTTTATTCTCATCATAGTCTCTCTCTGTGTCTGGCAGTTTTTAGTTCACTTTCTTTTTCACCCATATGAACCACACGCTAGGTAACATGACAATTTGTTTTCTCTTGGATTTTCCTCTACTCTGGTTTTGCAAAATTAAAGTTATCCTTAAAAGTAATCCTGTTTTCAACACAATCTTCAGCAGCACAATGCTATCTTCAGCTACTGAGTCTCTCTCTCTATTTTCTTTAAGCATGAAGAAAACTCTGGACTCCAAGCTGCTGTTCACCACCCCATGCTGCCGCAACACATGTGACCATGGCTCTGTGACCGGCCGTCCCTTCTTCCCCCCCCCCCCCCCCCCCCCCGGCCCTGTGACCGGCTGCCACACCGGTTACAAAAATTTGGAATTTTCACATTTCTGGTAGGTGCTCAGTCCTGAGCATGCCACATTTATGAAGTTATACTGTATTTCTAGCTTCCATTTGTTTTCCAGGGGTCCCATTTTTTTCTGGGTTCTAGTTCTAAAAGAAAAATATTTAAAATATTATTTTGGACTCTGCAATGTGACTCCTCCCACTACATAGTCAGGTCCATGAGTTTTCTTAGATATGTCTCCTCCTGAAGGAGACAAAGATATCTTGTACATGAATAAATTTCTCATGTAATATGAATAAGGGTCATTTACACAATTAACCTGTTTGCTCTGTAAGGTGTACATCAGTGTTGGCCTGACAGACTATTTTAGATATCTTGGTGTTGAGCCCCAGCTCAAGTCTGCGATCGTGCCCGGTATGCAAAGGCCAATAAAGATACCAGGGGTGAAAGTATAAAGAAGATGTATTGCTAGCAATAAAAGGTGCAAGCGGAATAATTTCACGTAACAAGCACACAGATTTCTATTTCTAAGCATCTTTTACACAGGGGTTTTGGACCTTCATAAGCATCCTTGAGACTTTTGCTTCAGGGGAAGCTGGATCGCTGAGGCGGCAGTAGCCTAATGGTGCAACGCCATAGAGTGAAAGTACCAGTAACAGGCACCTGGGTGAGAGGGTAGAAAGGGCATAAGGCCTACCGTCAGTACACCTGCCTGGGATTATCTCTGTAAGTATTCTGTCTGGCCCGAGTCCAAGACCAGTGATTTTTCCCCTGTGAGGACAAGGACTAAGAACAGATCCCTGGATAACAGGTAAGTCGGACGGTCAGAACAGAGAAGGCAGCCCTGAGATGGGTACCATTAACAATAAGGTTGGGAAATGTACCCCCCTCTCTTGTGTATTGGGACATTGGGCAGAGTTTGGTGGGGATCCTATGACTAAGAAGAAAGCTAAATTCTTCTGTGAAACTGCGTGGCCACGCTATAAGCTAGATGATCAAGAACATTGGCCTTCAGAGGGAAGTATTAATTATAATACCATCTTACAATTGATTTTGTTCTGCCGGCAGAATGGTAAATGGTAGGAATTGATGTATGCGAAAATGTTTCTGTAGAGATAGAGATAGAAAGGTTTTGGAGGAATGTGGA